AACACACACTTAAAACTATATTCCATGGCACAAAGGTAAACAACCTCCAGTTATTTAACTAGAAAGAAAAGGTTCTAAGGTCTTCAGTACCCTCTTTGAATCAAATGAGGGAATAGCCTTTTGTAAAAATACATTCGTTATGTGCCTTCTGCCAACAAGTATCGGATTTCTGGAAGTTGCAGGGCATAAGAAATCTTTCTTGTATTGAATTTAAGTAGAACAGTTCAATCCATCCAGATCCAGGCGAAAATAAACAGCCCTGAAAAGTATCAAGAGCTAGCTCACCTTCTGAGGTCTGTAAGGAGAAACAAAGGTTGGTGTAGGGAAAATTCACACACTGAGTTTAGATGAGAATAAACTTCTAAAGCTTTTCTAACAGCATGTGGAAGATCTTTGATACAGTTTCTTCTGACTCTGAGATTTTGAGATAATTTGTGATGACACAGCTTTGAAGAATTCTTTTGCCTTCAGAGTACAAACAAAGGGCATAGTAAAAGGTGGAGAGGAGGAGTTCAGGAGACTCAGTGGGAGGGAAGAGGGGTCAGGGAAGGGGAAACGAACAGAATGAAGACATGTACAGGAACCCAGTGACCTCAGTGAGTGCAAACAGCGTATGTCATAAACAGGACAAGATTAATGCAAACAAGAATGAAAATGGGGAAAGGGCATTTGGAGGAGGAGGGAGGGAAGAGAAAGAGGTTAAAGAAATAAACAAGCGGTAGTACGTACTTGTACCCACCCTCCAAGATGATTGTAAACCACACTTACTTCAAACACGTACTAATGAGAAAAGAATTATCTAGCCTTCTAGTCTGCTAGCTGGAAAGTTTTTAAAAAGCAGCAGCCTTTGGGGTATTTATGTTACCCTCATTGTAAGGTCAACAACTTCATTATTTTCCTTGTTTACTGTTCCTCGCAGGATGTCAATCACATTGCTTCAAATTCTGAGTTATTTCTCAGAATGAATTTAATAAGCTTTTCCTTCTCAAATCGAATAATATGCCTGCGGGGATCACAACAACTTCCATCAGATTTTTCACTAACAGGTCTGAAGTAAATGGACTACAAGTTCAGCATTCAAGGTATGCTTCCAACGGCTAAGTATTTCATGGCTGTGAACTTTTTAACCTCTGGCTTTACGCAGTATTGTTTCTTTTCTATAGGTCATGAAACTGAGGCATTAAAAATGAGGTATCTTGTCAAATCTCTCACAGCTAGTGCAGTGACACCATTATACGTCAGTCTCAGATCTAAGGGACTTGGCCTCGGTGAGGAGGGGTTAGAGGAAAGAGTGAACCACCCTGGTAACCCGCTCAGCCGGCGAGGTGTCAACTAGCACACCCCTGTTAGGAGATATTTAGCTCCATTTGGGTTAATGCTGTGAAAAATTAGGAACCAGGAAACAAAGAAAGCAACGCTGCCTGGTGCCTCGAAACCTAAGCCTCTCTGAAGGAAGGGCCACATGGCCCCTCTGCCTTGAGTCTGCTTGCAGGAAAGCAGGGGCGTGACGGATTCTCTGTCCCTTCGCGGAGAGTTGTGAGCCCGCTTGTATCCGTCTTGCTCTCTGAAATTCAGGAAGGCTTTTCAGGATGGCGGTTTGGAGTTGCAAGGAGGCGATGTAAAACAGAAACCCCCTCCGGGATCTGCACTGGTTGGGTCAGCCTGCTATTTTTCTGCCAAGGCAGCCATTTGGCAGTGATGCTATTGACTTCCTTCACAGTGGGAATGAAGAGCTCCTAGTGTCACGTCCTTTCACTTATCTATTCGTTAACTGGCTGATGTAGTATACGCCTTTACCATCCGAGGAGGTCACACACCATTCCTGGGTGATGGCCCACCTCTCATCGTACCGTTGCGTTTCTTTCCTCATTATTCTGTTCAAAATTGACTTCCCTTCAATCAATACTCCTCTCGCCCCATTCCCTTCTCAGCTGTTCCTCTTACAGCACTGGCTTCTATTTTCGCTCAAGTTCTTTGTAAATTTATAGTTGAATCACAGCCTTTCTTCCCTTTGGAATTTTAGAAGGATCCACATGTGTGTACTGCTTCTTGGCTCCGAACTGGAGGAAATATTTGGCTTTTCAGGACAAGTTGGAACAAGCTGAAAGGTCAAATAAGAAGAAACTATGACTTGCCTTGAAAAATAGAGAACAGCAATTAGAAAATTAACCATACATTTAGCTTTCACACCTTTGACATCCTGGGGTTTAGAGGGAAATATCATGTGACAAGCATAGCCTGCCTCTTTCTCAACCTATTATACAACCGAACACTCCGCTCCTGTGGGGTCAAACGCATGTCGTCAGGGTGAGAGAACAAACCATGAGTCGTAAGGGGATGAGATGTGGACAGGAGAGTGCTCGTGTTCCTAGGGGCCTCCCGGCTTTGCTTCAGGGAACCAATGAAAGGAAAGGAAGACAGCACAGTTTAGAAGCCACACTCCACCACATCCGCCCTTGGTCATGTTACCAACATCCAAAGACTTGCTTATAGCAGCTACCTTTGTGTGTTTTGTTACTTTGTTCTTAGGACCAGTCAGGTACGGCCCCTGTTCCGTGTAGGAAGAAACTACAGAGTGCGCTTTTGAAAGGACTTGCTCCGAAGTTGTGTCTCTAGAAAGGTGTGGTGAGATAGATGGGTCGGTAGACAGATATATTTTTTTTGGTTTTGGTTTTCTGAGACAGGGTCTCACTATACAGCCCAGTCCGGACTTGAACTCGAGACGGCCCCCCTGCCTTAGCTTCTTGAGTACAAAATGGCATTATAACCATGCACGATTTCTCATTTCTAGGTAAGGAAAGTGGAGGGAAATTAAATTTACTTGTTAGATTATTGCCAGGCAATTAACATATTTCACATTGAAAGTACTAATTCCTCTTATTCCTCTCAAAAAACAAAACAAAACAACAACAAAAAAAACACACACACACACACAAACAAAAGACAATGAAAGTCGGGCGTGGAGGTGCACACCTATAATCCCAGCACTCAGGAGGCTGAGGCAGAAGGGCAGCAGTGTGTTTGGGGCCACTCTGGGCTACAGAGAAGACACTGTCTCATATAAAACAAAGCAATCCCCAAAAGAAAAACAGATAGTTGTTCAGGTTCCTCAGCACTGTGATGCCTAAAGTGTTAGTAAGCCTGATTACCAGTTTACAGTTGCTGGCAAGCACAGACATTGGCAGGCATTCTAAAAGGTCACAGGAGGAACAGAAAATCATGAAGGGGAAAAGAAACCCACTGGAACCCCAGACAAGCACTCTCTGGGCCTGGAATCACTTGGTATCCCTGGATGAGTGGGGAGGATGGGATGCTAGTTACTAAAAAATTTAACTGCAGGACAAAAGGGAGAGATTTGATATAGAAAGGGTGTAGTGTAATGGAGAAAGGAACAGAACTGCTCGTGAGAGGCTGGGGTTTAAGCACTAACTCTTTCCAGGCCTCAGTTCATAAGCCTCTGAGTTATGTTCTCTCCTCTGAAGAAGAAAACTCTGTCAGCTGTCCTGTACTGTGACAAAATCGCCGGGGGAAAACTTAGAAAAGGAAAAGTTGGCTTTGGCCCACCATTCCAGAGGTTTTGGGCTTGGCTGGCCGGCTCCATTGCTGTGGGCCTGGGAAGGGAGAACAAAATGGTAGCACGGGGTGGTGAATGAAAGCTCCTCAAGGCATGGCGGCAAGGAGGGGGCTTGGGATGACATGTACGCTTCAAAGTCATGGTCCCAGTGCTTGGTTCATCCGCGTGGGACCTGTTTTTAGTAAGCTCACTGAGCTGAGAACTCAGAGTAATCCACTGCTGAGGTTACTGCTCTCCTGACCCTGTCACCCCTCTCGGCCCATCTCTGAACACTCTCTGCAGTGGGCTTCAAGCATCCCAGACAGGAGCCCTTGGGCCACTTCATCTCTGAACCAGAACTAGAGCTAAGCATCAGCGTCACGCCCCTGGTTAACACTGGCTCCATCGGTACCAGTTCTGCTCCCTGCCACCCCTTCTCAGGCATTTCTATTTGCCCTTCTCCTGAATCCTAACCAGCCTTTATGCTCAAGACAGTGTAAGACAAACTTCTCAGTGCGCCCTCGCCTTCCATACAGCACTGGCACAGAAAACCGAGCAAAGGGTTAGGAAGTGTGGCTTGGGGAAAGCAGACCTCCCAGCCTCACTTTTGACTCAGAAGACAAGTGGCGGCAAGGTGGACAGCATGGCTTGCTGAGAATCCACCTGGGCATCCAGTGCCTCAGCCACACCCCCAGCTTGTCAAGAGGTGCTGTTGAGATTTCCAAGACCAGGGGTCCTGGGTCCTACTATTGCCAAATTGCCCATCTGGTGTTCCAGCACCCGGGAACTTCTCAGGTATCAGATGCCACACCACCAGGATAATGAAAACCAGAAGCAGAGTGGACGAGGGATGACGCGAGAGAAGAAAATGCAATTTGGCCTCCAAAAGACCTGATCGTTAAGCAGCAGTAAGAATTAAAAAACCCCTCTGGGAAAGGCCTCAGACAGGTGCCTCTGGAGAAAAGGACAAACACCAGAATCACACTTCACATAGCAACCGGCCATTCGTCCTGAAAATGAACCTACTCTGGTCATTATTTAGGCAGCAGTTCTCTCTGATTGCTAAATGAGTCCACAGCACCTAACATGCATTCTCCAATTCTTTGATGTCTGGTGTCAACCGGGCGTTTAATAACTGTCAACAAAAGATACTGTGGTGAAAGATTAAATTAGGCACCGTGGCCAGACCACCCACTGTATAGGAAAGCATTCTGTGGGAGAAAATAACATTACATTGCAAGGATGAAAAGACTTTCAACTGACAGACTTAGGATTTTCTCCCCGAAATGCAAAGTCAGAGTTCTCATCCTCAAACTTGCAAGGATACGTGAGGTACAGCCTCGTAGAAAATGCTTCTCCCTGAGACTCCTGGTCCATCCTTTGTATGTCACTGCCCTGGAGCTTTACTTCTGCCCAGAAGTTCACCCTCACTCTCCTTGTCACGCCCAGATTGTGTCCTGACTCCTCATGTCCAAACATCTACTTAGAATGGAAGAACAGAGTTCCAATGAACTTAGAATCAGAGCATAGGAGCTGAAGGATAATTCTCCTCTTCCTCTGGGTGACCGTGTCTCCTCTCTCACCTCGGATTCCCCCATCCATAAAAGGGGAAATACACAAGGGCTGCTTAACAGATAGGGGGAATGTTTACATTTTTAAAACTTCACTAAAAGACACGATAAGATGGGGTGTGTTCTAAGTGAGTATTGTGAAGGGAATTACTGAAAATACATCTTGTTTTATAACAGCTTCTTAAAGTTTAAACATTATATTGTTGATCATACTGCATATAAATTATGCTCTAGGAGCTATAACACATTGTTAGCATTGCCTCTCGTGGTTCCTCCTATTGTTTTCCAGTGGTTTGTTCAAAGGTAGCCTATCTACTCAGGGTGATTGTAAGGAGTTGGGTTACAATAAAGGAGCATGCGAGCATGTTACATGTGTTCAAATCCATATAAGATGATGGATTCCAGACCCGCACAGGACACGCAAAATTTATGATGAGAGTAGTTACAGATTAAATAAGAACAGCTCTGGCTGACAGGACTGAATCTGGCCCAGGGCAGAAGCCAGACACAGCTGCTTCGGTCTCTGCAGTACCAGTGGAGGTGGGCGATCCCCAACCACAAGTTGTTCAGTCCACAAAGCCAGTGAGCCTCAGGTGAATCCGCCATGGTATTTAGTGATCTTATCCCTGCAACCCACGAGACAATTCAAAATGACTGTCACCAGATTTGCCCCAGCGATAAACAAAACAAAACAAACATAAGGGCTACTCTACGGAATTGTAGGCTCCCCTGCACGTTCAGAGAGCTGCACATGTGCTAGTACTAATCAGCTCTGAACCCAAGCCGATTCCCTACCTCCCTAAAGGAAATACAGCGTTCTCAGAAACACTGTTGAGATATTGTCTGTCCTAACTTCAGTGTGGGGAAACTGAGGCCTGTGGCCAGTGGACAGTTGTGCCACACCCACCCCTCCACAGCGGGACTCCTGAGTCAGTGCTGTTCTGCAGAACACCGCCTGCAGAATGACCATGGTCTTCTCTAGGTTGCTGTGCTTGGCATCTGGATTACTACCAGTAACCACTCCATTTCGGACTATTTATGGGTCCTTCTTTCACCATGGAAACCAGACAGCAACATCTTGATCCCAGAGTATAGAAAAACTTCTGCTCTTTTCAAAGCCACTGAGTACTACTAGCTCATCCTTGGGAGACACGATGTGGACCTGAGACATCACCCCCATATTCTCTAGCTGCAGAGTTGTATCCAAGCCTGTGTTTTGTAACTGTGGAATGAAATGTGGTCTTTCTGGCTTGGATAAGTATTTTCTACAGTATATAGTCTGGGAAAGTTTTATCTTGCAAGACTACTTTTTTAGTGCTAATATTTAAAACAGTTTTAATTTAGCTTTCATAGTTTAGTTATGGTAAAAGTAAAAAGCCAGTCTTTATACTATACACTCAAATATTTCTTACAGGCCATTAAGATATTTTATACATTTTCTTCTCTCCTTTGGGAAGTTGCTTCTTAAGAACACTGAAAGCATGTTTAGGAAGAGATTTTCTTTCATACAGTGTAAAACTTCCAAACAAAACTTACAAAATTGGATGGACAATAATGAAGAAACGATATTGAACACCTGACTTGAGTTGACAGATGGGCATTGTTTTTCTTTTACAATCCAACAACTGTTCACAATCTGACAGTTTACCCCTACTCTTAATTCTTGCAGTCCCTAAACTTCTGTAATTCACATCCCATATTTCCTGTTCTGTGAAGAGTCTGAGATCTCCAGTATCCAAATCTGTAGCCCATCTGAAAAGCTCACTTTGGCTGTGTCACAGAACCATCTGGAATGATTCAGCTGCGAAGCATCTGGGTAGTCTGGTTGAGGACCAAGCTTAAAAAAAAAAAAAAAAAAAAAAAAAAAAAAACAAAATGA